GTATTTTTAAATTTATTATATTTATTTAAAAGTTATTTTCAATTATTTAAGTACAGTACATAAGGGACTCACAGTAACATTTATTTGGGAAGAGGTTTAGATTTAATCAAATTATAGTCATTTGGCCAAGACCAAATGATTATGATAATTTGCCAAAAAAGTCATTTTTATTATTATTATTCAATCTGTTTACTTTCTGGGAGCCCTATTTTGTGGATAATAATTGTTGGAGAAGCATGTGAAACAATTTCTGCAGTGTGTGCATTGAATAAATGTAATTTTTACAATAAGAAGATTTACATATGTCACTGGAAAAACAAACTTTATTCATGTTTAATAACACTCTTCCATCATCAACTAATTTNCATTTCTCCCATCGTGTAACAAATTTTTTCATTCCGTCACTGAAAAATTCTTCCGACTTTTCTCGAATCCAGGACTTGACAGCTGTCTTTACCTCATCGTTCGAGGTGTAATGATTACCCTTGAGGTCGCTCTTGAGTAGAGGGGAAAAAAAATAAAAATTGTAAGGCGCAAGATCGAGAGAATAAGGAGGGCATGGAATCGGTTCAAACTTCAGATTTCGCAGAGCCTCTCCAGTTGTGCGCTAGGTGTGAGGACAAGCGTTGTCATGTTGCAAGATTATTGGAGCCAGGCTGCCTCTAACACAACAAATAATCACCTGGTGCCAATAATCTTGCAACATGACAACGCTCGTCCTCACACCTAGCACACAACTGGAGAGGCTCTGCGAAATCTGAAGTTTGAACAGATTCCATGCCCTCCTTGTTCTCTCGATCTTGCGCCTTACAATTTTTATTTTTTTTTCCCTCCACTCAAGAGCGACCTCAAGGGTAATCATTACACCTCGAACGATAAGATAAAGACAGCTGTCAAGTCCTGGATTCGAGAAAAGTTGGAAGAATTTTTCAGTGACGGAATGAAAAAACTTGTTACACGTTAAGAGAAATGTGTTAGCCTTAATGGTGACTATGTTGAAAAATAAATACAGTAGAACCTCGAAAACTCGACCTAATGTGGACCGAAGGGTGGTCGAGTTTGTGAAAATGCCGAGTTATCGGGAATGGGGTTAAAAAAAATAAGTACGAGTATTTCCTCAGAAAATACTGTACTGTACTTGTACAGTATTTACTTGTACAGAATATAACAGAGAATAAACTGCCCAAATACCCTTAAACAAAGGAAAAGTACGTCCTTTATGAAGGCATAGAGCCACTACATGAAAATGAAAATTAATGAATACACTGTGTACAGTAATTTACCTGATAAGACAGACCTCAGAAAAATACTTTATGAGAGCTTTTATACTTTTATAAAGCTGTCTATAATGAAAATTAATTAACTAAGGATTTTTTCGCCCTGCCAAGGTGTGGACCAGTTATCCGGAGTGCTAAGTTATCGAGGGACG